AAACACATACACAAACACACACACACACACATGAAATCCGCCGAGATTCTGATTGGGATTACATGGAATATATAGGTCAATTTGACAACAAGTGACATCTTTACAATACTGAGTCTTTGATCCATAAAACATGATATATTTAGGTTCTTTCATTTCTTTCAACAGTATTTTATAGTTTTCTGTGCAGAATTATTACACATAGTTCTTTAGATGTATTCCTAAGTATATTGATGCTATTGTGAATTGCACTATTTATTTTTAAAATTTATTATGTATTTTTTATTTAGGGGGGCAGGGAGGTAATTAGGTTTCTATTTTCTTATTTATTTTTCATGGAGGTACTGAGGATTGAACCCAGGACCTTGTGCATGCTAGGCACACACTCTACCACTGAGCCATACCATCCCCCCCATTGTATCATTTATTTTTTTAATGTTTGTTACTGGTATGTAGAAATACAGTTGATTTTATATAGAGATCTTACATCTAGCAACCTTGCTAAATTCACATAGGAACCCTAATAGTTTCTTTTCTGTTTTTCTACAAACAAATCATACCTGCAAAAAAAAGATCTTATTTCTTCCTTTCTGGTCATTACCCCTTTTTCCCCATCATTGTACCTTGGCTAAGATTTCCAGGATGATGCTGAATAGAACTGTGACAATTAGCAGCCCTTTCCTCATTCTCAGTCTCAGGGGAAAAGCTTTTAATATTTCATCACTAAATATGATGCTTGCTGCAGAATTTATATATATATATATATATATTTTTGCCAGATTAAGAAAGTTATCATCTATTTCTTATCTGTCAAGAATGAAAATTGAATTTTATCAATGCTTTCTCTGCATCTGTTGGGATAATCATATCATTATTCTGTTAAGGTGGTGAATTACATTAATTAATTTTCAAATAGAAAACAAACCTACCAGACAGTGATTAAATTATAAGCACAGACATAAAGCATTCAAAGAATAAGGGTGTCTGCTTGTTCATGATGTGGGCAAAGAGCTTTATATTCTGAGACTGAAAATATGAGACCAACAATCTTTGCTTCTCTCCTTGCCAGAAGTAAGGAGATTAACTTAACAAACCTTCACTTCCTGCCAGATGAGTACATAGCCAGCCAAGAAACCTCAGGAGTGGAGTCACTGAAGAGAAAATCAAAGCCCAGTTCCACAGGGAGACACCACCCTCCAACACACAAGCCACTTCATAAATGAAAATCTCCCGAAAGGCCATCACTCAATGGGAGAGGAAGCCGGGCATGGCACTTAAAACCTTGGGCTCTGAAGCTTGGCTGCCTGGGTTCCAATTCTGGGTCTGCCTCGTCCTAGTCAAATATTTTAACCTCTCTGAGCCATGCAAATGACGAACACCTATGTGAAAGGTTCTTGTGAGGATTAACTGAGATCATATGAGTAAAACATTTCACACAATGCCTGGTTCACACTGAAGGCGCAATAAAGGTTAGTTTTTTATTCTTTTTTGCTCCAAACATGATGTTCACTTAAACCTCTAAAGTGGATGGTTAAAATTCTAAGTTTCTAGTGAAACCCCTTGGAAGTATGTTTACACTCTCCCAATAAAACAACAATTAGAATAGTTCATTGAGTAGATTTTACCAATGGAATTTTATAGGTTTTAAAATGATAATAATGGAGACAGTTATTTCTTCCATTTAGCCTGTCATGTTCCTTGCAAACGTCACAACATTTCCATTTTAGCAGTTTTGAGGAGATGCTTGTCAACTGTTTTGCTTCATGGTGGAAACTATATAATCCTAAAAGTTATTCTCCCCCTGACTCTGCTATGTCACCCAAATGTTCAAATGTTTTTTTCTAATTTTATATTTTGGGATAACTGTCAATTTTCATATTCTTGCTATGGACTAAATTGTGTCATGTCCCCCCCACCCCCCCCACCAAAATGATATGTTGGAATTCTAACCCCCATCATGATGGCTGGTAGTTGGAAATGGGCCTTTGGGAGGTGAAGTGGTTTAGGTTAAGATCATGACGGTGGGGCCCTCATGATAGGGTTAGTCCTTTTATAAGAAAAAGCACCAAGCTTGCTCATGTATGCTCTCTCTCTCCTCTCTCCCTCCCTCCCCCTTAAGCCCACATAAGCAGGAGGTCGTGCCAGGACACAGGGAGAAGGGGGCCCCGATCTCAAACTTCCAGTCTCCAGATCTGTAAGAAAATCAATTTCTGCTGTCTCAGCCACTCAAGTCTATGGATCTGGTTCCGGCAGCCTGGGCAGACAAATGCAATACAGGCACACCTCACGTTATAGTGTTTCACTCTATTGTACTTTGCAGACATTTTATTTTTCACAAATGGTAGGTTTGTGGCAACGCTGAATCAAGCAAGTCTCTCAGCACTGCTTTCCCGGCAGCATTTGCTCGCGCTGTGTCTCTCTGTCACATTCTGGTAATTCTCACAATATTTCAAACCCTCCACCAGCAGAAAGACTGTGACTCACTGAAGGCCCAGATGATGGTTAGCAATTTGTAGCAATAAAGTATTTTTAAATTAAGGTGTGTACACTGTTTTTTAGATATAATGCTATTGTACACTTAACAGATGACAGTATAGTGTAAGCACTTCCTGTGACTCATTTTGTGATTATATCCGCTTTACTGCGGTGGTCTGGCACCAACCCCGCAGTATCTCCAAGGTCGGCCTGTACCTGGTCCCAGTTCTCACCAGTATGGGGAAGCAGGGATATTTAGTATTTTCAGGGCCATGGGTGTCTCTGGCAGTCTCATGAGGCCTACTGAACCCCACCTTGGAATGTTATTTTTAAATGCACAAAATATAAGTGGATATACGATGGTCATAATATTAGAAACTAAATTTGTGATAGATTAATGCATGAACACCTTCACTAGCACGTGAAGGAACAAGATCCTAGTGGCAGATCCAATCTCTGCTGTAATTTCAAAGTAGTGATGAGCACGGATGCTCTTCCCAGACAGCTGGAGGGGACGGGAAGACATCTGCGATCTCGCTGGTGACAAAGACCCAGGCTCTGTCCATTCTAACCGTGGTTTGTTGCTCGCATTCATCATGGAAGGAAATGCTACCTCCCACCTGGAGGTCAGGAAAAACGAAGCTGTATTTCCTCCAGGCCCAGGTGACTTCCCTGGAGGAGCGCGAGCAACGTAGGGGGCGGTACCTTCTATGCTGCGAATGTCCTCCCGCCACAGCTCCAGGTGGGTCGCCATCTCGCGAGCCTTCTCTATGAACCTCTTCCAAGACTTGCTGCTGTACCGTTTCCACTGGTCCCACTCAGATAAGTACTTCATTTGGGTCTCCTGAATGTCCCTGCGTTAAAAAAAACGAGCATGACAGTGACAATGGCAGTGTTGTCAAGCCTCAGCATTAAATGAAACCCCAGCCGAGAGGGCGTGGAAAATCTGGAGCCCTCATACACTGCTGATGGGAACGTAAAACGGTGCAGCCACTGGGAAAAGTTTGGCCATTCCTCGAAGAATTGCCATATGACCCAGCAATTCCCCTCCACTCCGAGGTAGGTACTGCAAAAGAATTGAAAACAGTGTGTCCAGCAAAAACCTGTGCTGAGTGTTTATAACAGCACTAATAACAATAGCCAAGAGGTGGAAACAACTCAAGTGTAAGCCAGTGAAGGACTGGATAAACAAAGCAAGACCTATCCCTGCACTGTACTATTATACCCGCCATAAAAAGGAATGGGGTACTGAGGCATGCTACAATTTGGATGAAACTTGAAACATGATTCTAAGCTGAAAGAAGTCAGACACAAAAGGTTGCATATTGTATGATTCCATTTATATGAAATGTCCAGAATGGCAAATCTATACAGAGAGAGTAGATCAGTGGGTTGGCAGGAGCTGGGGGGAGGGGGAACAGACTGACTGCAGACAACAGAGGCTGGGGGGTGGCAGAGCCACAAGATGGAAGGCGCCTGGGTCCCTGAGTGACTGCAAAATCCCTCCTTGACCTCAGCCCGAGACTTTCATGTAAGCAAGAAATGAACTTCTCACACTCTGAGATTTTACATGTTTGGGTATTTGTCACAGCAGTTTAGCTTACCCTAAGTAATTAACTTTTAATTATGTGAACTCTTTGGGAAATACACTCCAGGCATAAAAAGCACCTCTGTCCAAAACATACATCATATATGGCTCCTGGACAAACCTCAGTCTCCGCTTCTCAGAGATGTTCAGGGCGTACTTCCGAATGGACTGGCTGTCGAGGTTTTCGGTCATTCCTCCCTCCAGCTGGGAGCTGTAAGAGTCTGTTGGCTTCAGTAAAGTGCCACTTTGCTTGTCTCGGGAAAGGATGGTTGTTCTCCTACGTGCAATGGACCGGTAGCTTGGCAACTCTTGAAGGAAATTCACAGGTGGAGAAGAAAAGCAACTGGAGTCCAAAGAGAGGCTCTCTGGGTGAGAAAGAAGAAAACTGTTATTCATTCCAGTGAACCTGGGAGCCCAAAACCAAACCTTACATAGGAGACTTGAATCTCAGACACCCTAAGTAAACGTTGCAGTCACAAGCTTGGGCCACTGACAAAAGCATTTGTACCTTAATTATTTTATTTACTAGGATGGCGCTCAAGATAATGAAATCATCAGCAAACGAGTTCACTTTCAGCAAATGTGTTTGCAAATACGCTTTAAGTTACACGATACCTGAGTTTTAGTGTTTGGCCGCAGACACTTGCTAAATGTGTGGCCCCAAGTTATCTAAATCCTGTTCTTCATTTGTCAAATGGGGCTAGTGATATAGTTGCCCCAACTATCCTCACACAGCATAAGGCATACGATGCATGGGATAAAACTGAAAAGCATAACCTGCTAGGCAAATACACAGTGATAACAATATCGACAACAACAACAATAATAATAATAGCATTTACGGAGCATTCCCTACGCACCAGGCACTGTGTTGAGCTCCACACGCACTCACGGGATCTGCGCTGGCCTTGTGATCTGGCTGGACCACAGAACGCAGCACAAGTGAAGCTGTGTCTGTTCTAAGTGTAGCCCTGGGAGGCCTTGCCAGCCTCTGCTGCTCTCTGGACGCCAGCTGCTGCTGCCGTGTGAACAAGTCCGAGCTAACCGGCTGACGGATGATGCAAGGTGGGGCAGGGATGATCACCCTAGACGGGACCATCCTGGCCAGCCTACAGCCAGCCATCTCCCAAGTGACCACGGATGCTCACACGTCCTGAGGTAGGTAATACCACAATCCCCATTTTACAGATGAGAAAATAAAGTCACTGGGGGGTTCCCCAACCCCTTGCCCAAGCCCTCAAAGTCCTGCATGATCTGACTCCTGCCCACCTCTCCAGTTCCTCGGGCTCTCTGCCCTCCAAACACATGTCTGAGGACCCTTCCTATACTAAAATGGGCCCATGTCCTCCTCCTCAGAGCCTTTGCAGATGCTGTTCCCTCTGCCTGGAATAAACCTGCCCCATCTCTTTATCCTAGTAGCTCCTAGTCAAATGTCACTTCCTCAGGGAAAAGGTCTCTGCCTCACTGCACTATTACAGGTAGCTTGTGACCCATTTTCCCACACACAGGAAGTCCTTCACAGCACGTATCATAATCTATAACCATGTATTTACGTGTGTGACTGTGTGAGGACATCTGTCTTGCCCAGTGAACTAAGTTCTCAGAGGACGGGTGATGGATTTCCTCACTATTGCAACTCAGGACCTAGCAGCACCCTTGGCTCGGAGTAGTTCAATAAACACCCAGTGGACGGATGGATGAGTGGGTGACCTTCGTAACTTGCCCATGCTTCGAGAGCCTGGGAGTGGGGCCCTGGAAACAGAGCCAGGTCTGCCTACTCAAGAATCTATATTCACTCTGCTCTATCAAGCCAAATTTTGCTGTGTCCTGTGCAGCGGTCCAAGGAAGGAGAGCTTTCTGTTGAAGGTAAGGAACGAATGCCACCTTCAAGATGGGTTTTATGTCTGATCTGATTTTAGTTTGAGAAGAGCACCCTAAGTGAAGACAAGACATGGAGTCGGGAGGGAGGAGGCAGCTGTAAGCACTGACCCCCACAGGTAGCAAAGCTTCTACAGTTTAATGTTAGATACTAAATTGCTTGGGTTTGAATCCATGCTCTGTCGATTACCAGCTGTGCGTCTTTGGGAAATTTACTTAACCTCTCTGAGATTCTGTTTCCTCTTCTCAAAAACTCATTCATTCACCAAATATACCTACCATGTGTCAGATCTGGAGCTACGAATACCACAGTGAACAAAGCAACACCCTACTCACATGGCACTTACATTCTGAGGTGGGGGCACAGGGAGATCAGACAATACACAGGCAATAAATGTTATGCCAGGTGATGATGAGTACCATTTAAAAAAGAGTGGGGTGAGGGGACAGAAGTGATGAGTGGGATACACTGTTTTTCATAAGGTGGGGTTAGGCATGGTTTCTCTGCTGCGGCAGCATTTAAGCTGAGGCTGAATAAAGAGAGGGTGTTTTGGGGAAGAGTGTCCTGGAGGAGGAAAACAGCAAGTGCAAAGGCCCTGAGGCAGCAGTGAACATGGCATGTCTGAGGAAAAGCACAGAGGCTTTGGTGGCTAGAGAAGAGTAAATGAATGAGAGCTCACAGGCGCCTTTGTTGGTGGCCCTTGAAGAGCCATCCAGCCCTCTGTGGTCCCCTTCCCTTTGAATCCGGGCTGGATCTGTCACCTGCTTTAACCAAAGGCTGCAACAGAAGTGACACTCTGCCAGTTTCAGACCCAAGCCTTAAAAGGGCCTGGAAGCTTCCACCTTTGCACTGTTGGGAGTCCAGGGCTGCTGTGTAAGAAGTCCCCCAATGCTGCTGGCCGATCACATGGAGAGAAAGAGGCCCCAAGCCTCCAAGAAGGACAACCAAGGAACTGGCTGACAGTGAGAACCAAAGTCCAGGGCTTATGGCCCCAGCGAGCCATTGCAGCCAGTCCCCAGCCCTCCAGGTCATCCTCACCGTGGGCAGGAAGAGGCCACCGGATGCTCAGACCCAGGAGACATGACACACAGCTGAGCAAACTGTCTCCTCTGTAGCTGCAGATTTCCTGAGCACGGAATTAGCAGAAGTGATAAAACGGCTTAAGCCATCACGTTTAGAGCAATCTGTAAGCAACAATAGGTAGCTGGGACACGAAGAATGGGAAAGTGGGGTCAGAGACGGGGCCAGGTCACCCTTGGATGGGGCAGACAGGCAGCCACTCAGGGCTCTAAGCCAAAGCATGTGACCTGACCATGTTTTGAAGCATCACTCTGTGGCTGCGAGGCTAAGGATGTGAGCCATCACAGGGGTCAGCTTACAAGAATCAAAGGCAATCACGTAGGTAGTAACACTGCGCATGGTGTCCGGCACAGGGTGGATCGGGCTTCATAAATATACTCGTAGCTAATGGGGCGAGGGAGCGTGGGAGGAGGGGACCAGCTGGGGCCTTGATCTGAGCTGCAGTCTGACAGTGCAGATCTGTAATCCTTGCTTCTCTGATGGGCATGTTCACACACAACGGAACAGCTGTCCCATTGCTGATGACACCCAGACATGCGTCCGGGGCCCTGCCAGTGGCCAAGGGCAAGCCTGCAAATCCCACTCAACCTGTCATGTCCCTGCCCCAGCACACCCTGGGGGCGTGACACACTTCCATTAGCAAGGGTGGCTCCCTGAGCAAAAGCAGGGAGGGTGGGGAGTCGGGGGCCTGAAGGCTACAAGGTCCAGCCCCAGCTGGAGGCCGCTCTGCCCTCCCCTCCGGACAGCAACAAAGGGCTGTTATTAACCAGAACAAAGGCCTTTGAATATGGAGCCACACCGACCTGCTGAATATTCAGCAGCCCTGGGGTCAGGGACTGAGGGCTGGAGCTGGAGCCGAGGCTGGCTTTCGCCCACTAGCCAGGCCACCCCAGGAGAGACAATGACTGTCTCTGAGTCACTGTTTTGCATCTACAGAACGGAGGATATAACACCGTGACCTCATCAGCGTGATCATGAGGACAAAGCTGCAAACAACCTAAGGAATACTGGCTGGGAATTTTTGAGCACTTACCTTATTCCAGGCTATCTGAAGTACACATGAGCATCAGCACACTTAATACTGTGAACTCCTCTTTGAACAGAATTATCCTATTTTACAGACGAAGAAACTGAGGCTCGGAGAGGTTAGGTGCCTTTCCCACTCACTCCGCTAGCAGGTGCTGGAACTAGGAGCCCATTACAGGCCTGTCCAATGCCGAAGCTGTAGTCTTTACTATGAAACCATTCAATGGGCTATGGACCTGCAGTGCTTCAGAGACACTAAGATGCCACACAAATTAACCACTCGACAGTTCCTGCATCCACTCCGCAGGAGAGATACAACCTATTCACACTTCAAAACAACAGTCCCTGGTAGAAAATTCTATTTTTAAAATGACCATCACGGAAGAGGAATGCTTTCTCAGACATCCCTGGGAAGTTCTCCATCTTCAAGTTAAAAAAAAAAATCACAGCCATACCTTTGAACACAGGCATCATTATTTTTATAGCTGATCCACCACTAACTGTTTGCACATAGGACCACACGCTTCCCAGAGCATGACATCAACAATTTCTCACGCCAACCTACAGGGAAGACATCGCTGCCCTGGCCTTTCAACAGGGAAGCTGAGACTTGGAGAGATGGCGGCTTGCCCAAGGCTTTGATGTCAAGATAGACTCCTGGTTCTACCACCTCTTAGAAAGGCAAGTCGCGTCACCTCCCTGAGCCCTGGTTTTCTCATCTTTAGAGGACAAGACGGTCTCATTACAACTATTGTCAGATGTTCTCCTGAGCTGGTCACTTAAGCCTGTCGGGGTGTGAGATGCTGGATGACCATGTGCATGGGAGGCGGGAGCGTAGCTCAGACATCGGGGTGCCTCCGCCTAGGGATGCCTAGATCCTGTTGGCCACTGGAGTCAGATTTCAGCAAGGAGGAGGTTCCTCAGGTGGGAGGATGACTGGGTAATTACAGGAGATGTGGGGGCAGGAGCAGGCATAACTACTTCTGGGACCCGGTGTTCTTCCAGGTTAAGGATAAAGGTGGTCTCTCTGAGGCTTAGCGCAGTATCTTGGGCACTGAAAACCTTCCATCTGAAGAATGAATGAATGAATGGGCAGAGGCAGGCACATCTGGAGAGCATCCTTAGGTCCCAATTTTCTTGCCAGCTCTTTCTACAGGACACCAAATCCTACCAACGGAGTACAAACACTCCCAGAACATGGGCACAGGCCAACTGTCATCTAAGTGGCACTGAACCTACCACCAGCCTCCCTCGAGAGCTTGCCAAGAGCCTAGCCTGACCGTATTTGGTGCTGGAGTCACTTTAGGGTTTTTCTTCCCACCCTCAGAATTATGGAAACTCTGGGTAAGAAGGGACCTTCTGGGTCATCTGGCCCAGGCATCTGGCCAGCTGCTGTGGGAATTAGTTCTGTTTGATACCTTGCATGGAGCCCCTCTCTGCATGGGACTCCTGCTTCCTGCTTC